AAAAAATTCATTTTTGACTCTAATGAAGACTTTTTTAATTACCCAAATATATCCCTTCTAATTAAAATATCTCTTATTATACTTCTTTTAAATGCTAATGTAGAAAGATGTTTTCCCAAACAAAGTTGATTAAGAATAAATTAAGGAACAAAATGAATCTTGATACATTAAATAATCATTTAATGATTTTATTAAATGGACCTGAAATCGAGGGCTTTGATTTTGAGAAAGCATGTGAATATTGAGAAGATAAAAAATATAGAACTATTTATTTCCATAATTTGTAACTTTTATGAATTTGATCATATGTGCACAAATTTTTTTATGCAGATCACAAGATCGTTGAATTTCCAACACTGCCTGGAACATGAAGTACAGTTCGTTTTTATGCTAAAGTGAGGCATTAAGTTAACCTATAGTTAATTTAAAGTTAGCCCGCCATCCTTTGATTAAATTAGTTAGACATGTTTAATTAAAAAATGATGACACGTTATAGACAAAAATTTCCCATTTATCTTCATAAAATAAATTTTGAATGTTTATATTAATATAATATGCCATAACAAATTATATATATATTATGATTGATCTTATAAAGCAATATAAATAAAATAAATGATTTTAATAATGTTTCAATTGATTCACCTACGGAATTTTCACCAATAAATCCAGTGACTTAGTTGTACGATTAATTATTTGTCTCAAAAAGGAAAAAATCGGGTTTTATTCAAAACAAATTTATAAATTTTTTTTAAAAGATATTTAAAAATGTCATATAATAAATTATTATCATCATTATCACAAGAAAGAGTGGATTTTGTACGTAAAATTGATAATGAAATGTATGATAATGCTCTGGGTAATTCTAATAGAGAAAGTAGAAAAGCTTATTTTTTTTCATTAGTTGAGAAAAATGAGGCGCTTTCTGAAAATGAAAAAGAATTTTGCAGGGAAAGGTTTATTTATCAATTTGAATTAGAAAATGCAGTAAATAAATTGGGCAAACAAAAAAAATGTAACAAGTGTAAACTGAGAAGATACTCTGACAGATTCTGTGAAGGTTGTATTGGTTTACAATTACAGAAACTTTTTAATAATTGGACATCTGGAAATGACATAGTCAATAACTTTATTCAACAATGTCAAATAAAATCATCTCTGCCAAACTATATCTTAGAATGGATACCTTTTGAGCAATTGAAAAATGTAACAAAATTAACTGAAGGTGGATTTAGTTCAATTTATAAAGCTAAATGGATAAGAGGGAAAATAATTGATTATGATGAAAAGGAAAAAGAATTTAGTTATCTTGGTGCTCAATATGTAGTATTAAAAAGTTTAAATAATTCAAGTAATCCAGGAAAAGCATTTTTTAATGAGGTTGGTAGTTTTTATATAAAACAAAAATAAATAATGCTGTATTATATAATACTAATTGATTTTATATTTAATTACAGGCAATTAATTATTGTAAAATTAAATCAACTATGATTGTCACTTGCTATGGTATAACTAAATTCCCAGATAATGGAAATTATGCAATAGTTTTAAATTATCATCTAGAAGGAAATTTAAGGGGTTATTTACAAAAAAATCATTCTATTTTGACATTAAAAGATAGAATTGCAATTTTTAGATGGTTATGTGTTGCATTATATTATATACACAAAAAAGATTTAATTCATTGTGATTTACATAGTGGTAATATATTATTGGAAGGAGGTACTTGTTATATTACAGATTTGGGATTATGTGGACCAGTTGATGAAAAGTCATCAAATAAAATATATGGAATTGTATCATATGTTGCGCCTGAGCTACTTAGAGGCAAAAATAATACAAAGAACACAAAGGAAACAGATATTTATAGTATTGGAATGTTAATGTGGGAAATATTTGCAGGCCATCCACCATTTGACAATAGAGCTCATAATCATCGTTTAATTTTTGATATATGTGAGGGTTTACGACCACCAATATTACCTGTAATGCCTAATGATTATGCACAGATGATGCAGAGGTGTTGGGATGTGGATCCATCAAAAAGACCAACTATTGATGAGCTTGTGGGCTACGCTTATAATAAACATAATGAAATTTTTAAAAATGAAAGTATAACAAATAAAAGCTTAAAAAATAATAGTTTAATAAAAAGATTATTCAAATTTTCTAAAATTAAAAAACATGAAATCGAATTTAATAATGATGGTAGCAGCAGCGACAATGGTGATGGCAATGGTGGTGGTGGTGGTTCGCAACAAGTACACCGACCACATCCAGAAGCATACCATACAAGTAGAATATTAGATGATGAAATTACTAAATCAAAAAGCTTAAAATTTTATACAAGTAATGATAGTTCATTAAATGATCTTGATTTTAACTCTCTTCTCTTAAACGAAGGTGAATTAAATTCTCATTGCCAATTAATTGAAAATTATTACTCGCTAATTATTATTAATAATCTTTTTTATTCACATTTAATTAATAAACATTAGACTCTAGTAATAACAGTAAAGGAAAAGGTGTTGAGGTTGATAAAATTGGTGAATTATCAATGGATGATTAATTTAATCACCATGATAAATTTATTTTTATAATAATATTTTGAAATTTTTAATTCTTTTTCCTGTGAGATAAATATTTATCATCGGACGTTTTCCTTTTCTCATTTCTCCCCTTATTATTGTTAACTTCACATTTGTAATTGTTCTTTAATTCTTTTGTTTCATAAGGTCATGCACATTATATATAATATGAATACAGCATTGTTGAATTCATGCCGGTGGTGAAAACATCATTTGTGTGAGAATTCTTTATTGGTAGAATTTAGCACATCGATCGATGTTATTATTAAAATGTCCAATAAAATTTTGGAATCTGAAATTTTCAATAAAATAGCATTCTAAGATTTTTATACACGATAATAATAAAAATTATTTACATGTCAGTCTTTTTTCTTTTATTTGATCTTTGACAATCAATTAACTTTTCTTCGCATTGTAATTGAAAGTTTTTAGATCGATTAATCAACCTACAAAATATAATTTAAAAATAGTTTTATTTATTCATTTAATTTTAAAAGAAATAAAGATGAATTTATTTTATTTTATCAATTGAGTCAATCTAGGAAAAAAAAAGAAAATGAATCAGTTTCACATATATATATGAATATTCATTATATATAAATTATTAAAATAATTTTATTTCAAATTGAGAATTCTTCAAACTCATTAAATCAATTTTTTTAAAGCATCGTTACAATTAACAATGTATTTTCTTTGAGTGAGGATGAAAATAATTAATTATTTCATATCATAAATATAATAACTTTTGTAATTACTATATAATTAACATTTTCATTCAATTTCAACTCTTTCTTCCCTTCCATCGTCATTATCACCTATCATCATCTGATAGCAAATCACCAAATAATTTATCAAATTCTTCTTTCGACTTTTTCAACTTTTTGATTCATCATTCTTCTCTTGGAATAGTCCCATTCATCTTTTCTAAATGTCATTATCATCAACTTTATTTGTTATTAATAATTTCACACGAGAATCTTTTTTGTTCATTTTATGTTGAATTTTATGTTTCTTTAATATCAGGAATTATTAATTGTTAATTGTTGTTTCTACTTGAACAAATATAAAGATGATGGATGGACGAATATACGATTGATTGTAAATCTATGACTATAACTATAATGATTATAAAAAAAACTTTTAACTTTTTTAATGATGTTGATTCTGACTCTGTCAATTTTGTTCCAATAATTTTCTTTTCGTGTGCTATTTGCATATTTATATTCATCCATCTAAAAATATCAAATTATATATTTATAATATTTTCTCCTTTCTAAAGAAAATTTATTTTTAATTATTTAAAGCTTGCATTTATTTGAACTTCATAAATGCAATTTTTGCATTAGTCAATTCTGGCATTCTGACAACTAATAACATTAATAATATTCATTAATCAAAAATATAATTAATAATTTTTTATGCATACATAAATTCATGAGTACATACTTTTAGTAAACCAAAACATTTGGCAACTTAAATCCTTTAACCTAAAAATATAATTTACTTCAAGTTTTAAATATAATCTAACGTATGATATAAAAGCTTTGTTTCCTAATTAAATGTGAATGTAAATGTAAGTATGTATGTGTATGTGTATAAATAAGCATAACTATCTGCTAATTACCTTATGTAAATCTCTATCCATTAAAACCATTTTACAAATTTGTTCCAATAATTCATCATTTTCCTTATCGACTTTCAGTATTTTTACCGCTGTCACCATCATAATCACTATTGCTACTCTTTAAATAATGGTGAGGCTTTTCTGTTAGAGAAGATATATTAATGTTTAAAGATTGGAATTTACGAATTTTTAAAAAATCATCAAATAAAAATAAATATCAAATTAATCGAATTACCACAAAATTTTTTTAAAGTTACAATCCATCTGTATAAACTTCTTAATGTCCAATTCTCAAGAAAACCATTACTTTCGCTTTCTTAGCGGCACTTGCAATTCTTCTACAATGATGTGAGAATAATTTGGGATCTTGTAGTGGATCTATTTGTACAACGTAGTCCACATCGGGCATATCAAATCCTCTTGCTGCAACATTGGTACATAGTAGAGTTGCGGTTGATATTATTGGTAAATTAACAAATGATTGGTTGATATGTATCTTTATTATCAATCTTATTGTTGTTAGCTAGTGGTTGAATTAGTGATAATGTGGATAATTATATTTATTATTGTATTATTACAATAATAAATAAATTTGCACACGCCTGCTCTTCTTCCAGTATCCATTCCATTAAATTGTGATAATTTCACAAATAACGAAATAATTATAGTGAATAGTTTAGTGTATTTAAATATATATGATTCTTCCTTTGTAAAAATAATCAACAAATGCGCATGTAGAAAATTTCTTCATTTTTCATTAATCTTGATATGGTTCACATAAACTATATCTAATCTGTATGTAATCTATTATTAAAAACAATATATATGTATAGATTTACAACAACAACAATATGATTCATTTAATAGATATACACATATACATAGTAAGTATTCTCTGTTCATCTTTTGATACAACATCTTCATTTTTAACTACAACTCTAGCCGGATTTCTTAATACAGCCCATACAATCTCATTTAAACTATCAGTCACCTCAGCCACCATAGCTGAGAATAAACTAGTTCTTCTTTGCTTTGGCAGATTTGACATCATCATATTAATATTTTGTGAAATCCCAATGCTTCAAATTCTTTAATGTTGGTGTTGTTGTTGCTGCTACTTCTAGTATTTCTATCAACTATCAAATCATGTAAACGTTCAGGTGTACCTATGAATATATCTGATCCTGTTTCTTTAATATCTTCATTGGATTAGTAAATTTTTTGGTAATTAATTATCCGATGAATTATTGAGAAAAATGATGAATTTGCTATGCCAATTCCCTATAAAATAATTTTTTCAGTGAAATTAATACAATACAAAATATTATAAATATTCATATGTTAAATATATTACCTCGTAGATGTAATGACCAGAGCATCAATTTCATTTTTTCTTAATTAATGTTTTCTATTAACCAATTTTCAATGATAGGTATAACAAAAGCTAAGTTTACCAGCCTATCTATTTATACGAATATATATGATAAGATCATATTTTAACAATCTAATTTCCTGATTACCTCAATAACTACTTCATAATAATAAATAATACTTGTATAGAAGTCATCTCTGAAAAACCGATTGTGATCAATGTTTCTAAACTAACATATTGGAAAAAAGATATGAATCAGTTAATTGTGTTTGTGATTGCTGAAATTTTTTAAATATTAATAATAAACGTATATATGGGTATGTATACATAAAAGGAGTCAATTTAGGTTCCAAAGAAGTACAGTACATGAGCCAGCTTATTAAAAATTTTTTTTTCAAGACTATTACTCTAGAAGAAGATCAATGAACAGAAATTCGATTGGTCAATTAATTGATATTAATATTAAAAAATTTTTTTTTACGATGATAAAATAAAATTCAACACTCAAAACGAAAAGAAAAGATGCTCATTCCAAAGAAAAGTCGTAAACTCATCTATGAAAGTCTTTTTAGAGGTAAACAAACTAATTTATCAAACCATCAACCAATTCAAACCGATCGAATTTTCTCAAAAATCTAATTATCAAAATTTTATTAAGAGGGAGTCTTGGTAGCAAAAAAGGATTTCAATGCACCTAAACATCAAGATATAGATGTACCAAATCTACAAGTTATAAAAGCATGTCAAAGTCTTAATTCGAAAGGATATGTGAAAACACAATTTTCATGGCAATATTATTATTACTCATTGACTGATGAAGGCATCGAATTTTTGAGAGAATATTTACACTTGCCTTCGGAAATTGTTCCTACTACTTTCAAAAAACAAACTAGACAAGCTAATAGAACTCGAGGTATTATTTAGTGATTTGAGGGTGCATGGTGCATATATTATGTTATATACACATACATATATATATATTCACATTTACTTATTCACACAAACCTAAAACATTATATAGAAACTGAAGGAGGTGATAGAGATGGAGCATATCGTCCACCACAAAGTCGTGGTGGTGATCGTGATTATCGTCGTCGTGGTGATGATGATGATGGTGGAAAGAAGGAGGGTGCATCTAGTGATTTCCAACCAGAATTTATCAGAAGCTATGGTCGTGGTCGTGGTGGTCCTCATTAACAAAAATATATATATAAATAAATATAATTAATTTAACTATTTAAAATACATTTTTCAACAAGGTTTTATTTATTTTCCCTCTTTCTTCTCTCGGATCATCATATCAGTATTCAGTACATGCAAAAGTTCTTCTTGAAACAGAAGATTTAAAATAAAAATATTCTAGTTTACGAAAATGCACTCATTTTGAAATGAATGATTCTACCAAAACATTTTATAGTTTACAGGCCCATACAAAATATCATATCAGTATAAAAATCATGAACGTGGTTAATGTATTTGGATGTGAAAAAAAAAGATTTGTTACCAAAACTAAACTCGATAGACATAAATACATAAAAAATTGCTTTATAGGTGGTCGTATGTTGGGTGTCAGTGTTCAATTGATCTAATTAACAAAATTTCTATATTACCATATGCAAATATGGTGAAAATGTGGACGCACGCCCAGGGCTGACTATAGACAATAGCATTAAGATTATTAGGAGGATAGTTAGTCAGAGAATATATTATAGCTATTTTAGGTATGATGTCGACTAACTCGTTTTTTGCTGTTGCCAACCGTCATATATCCACAGCGTCCTTTAAGAATGCAAGATAAGCATATATATAAATTGTCAGCTTGCCCCTTTTCCTGCACTGCTTTCATAATGTTCTTTTCTTTTTATCCCTGTTGTGTAAACTTGGCATCCATTCTGTCTATATGCCCATTTTATTTTCTATTAAACAAGATAGGCTAGTTAGGCTTATTGTAATACCTGTCAATCATACGGATCTTTAGAAGGCAAAGGGAGTTAATTTGTTATTTATTATTATGCATTCTTCCTATATCATTCCTTATTGTCTAATTACTAGCTCAAGAAGTGACGCCTGGTAAGAAGCTTTTATTTCTATCCAGTTCCGATAAATACTTGATTGATATTTACTTTATTATTTGTTGTTTCGAATCCTTTGTCTGCTATAAGTACATTTATTAAAAACATGCATTATATTCCAATCTATAAATTCTTAATAATTACTGATTTATTTTTTAAAAAAAAGAGGCAAAAGCAATAAATACATTGGAATGTAGTTGTAAAAGAAATTGCGGAAGTTAAAGATGAAAATAAAAAAACAAATTTCTGGATAAAAACGCATTATGAAAGATGATAAAATTGGAAAGAAATAGAATTCAATCCAATTCAATTTAATTTCAGAAGATGGTTGTGTTTAGGATTGGGTGAATCATGAATTATATTTTATATGTGCTAACGATTATAGCTCATAAAGCAAATTGGGGTGAATAATGCTGTAATAGCCATTGTTTTAAGAAGGGTGCTCCCAACGAATGGGCACAGTCTGCATTACAATTAATTGCAAGTTCTACCTACATATGTGCCATTCATTCAATGTGCTGTGACTCTTAATTTGGGTTTGGATTTAGAGTGGTTCTCTTCCGAAACTGTTCAGGGGATTCTAAAGAATCTAGGGTCACAGAATTGGTACCATCACATCTTCTAAACAACAAAATTTTTATGGCAATGTCATTCATTCTACGCTAGTTATTTGCACCAGAGTCCGTTGTTCAAAACTTCACATGCTACTGCTAGATTGACGGATAAAAAATTTGCACGTAGTCGAAGAATTGATGAGATAGATTTTGAATCTTCCGCAACTGTTTTCGATTATCCAATAGTTTCAAATGACATTGAAACAAAATCTTGCTGGAATCATCATTATTTAAAATCAAGAAGATATGGCCAACATCGATGATCTTAATCATGGAATTTGAAGGAAGTCAAAATGGGAGATGAAAGAATATTTGAATGATACACATCCACATAATTTTGCTGCTTCATTCGTTTGAATAACTTTTTCTGTAAAAATGGTCAGCAAGTGTATCATGAAGATAAAGAACAAGATATGGATCGAGTCAATCATCTATCCCAATACGTATTTATTCTTAATAAAATAATAGATTGATTACAAAGATTTATTTTGCTTAAACTATATAAACTAAATATTATCTGTCTATGAATCAAAAAACTTGCTGTGAAGGCAATAATCCCTATATTCCCAACAATTTTTTTCAATACAAACAAAGAAAAAAAAATATATGCCAATAATCATTGATCATTTCATTGTTTCATAGCGAATAATCCACTAATAAAGTCATTGAAAATTATCAGTTTATATATACTGTGTATAATGTAGAAAATAAAGGCGATCGTAGTCCTGTTTATATGCCATTTTCTTGATGCCATTACCACTAGACCTATTTCATAATCTTTAACTTTGTTATATTCTATTGATTTATTCAATGCATAACAATTATTAATAAAACCCATTTTTTGTCCAATATAAATAAATGTTTGGATGGACATCTTATTTATTTTGTCAAAACACATTAACCTACAGTTTTTCAAAAAGGGAAATCTTCTAGAGTCCGTTTTATAGCCCTGTATATTGCATCTTATCAGCATTTGTCTGGAAACAAAAGCTTTGTTTTCGGGATTAATTGACTAATAACTTCAATGATGAAGTTAAATTTAGAAGATATACGATTATTTCCGATTGAGACCCCAAGCGAGCCGAATTTAGATTTGATTTCATGACTTGATTTGAATCAAACCAGATTTTTAAATTAATTTTTTATTTTAACTAGAATAAGGCAAATTCAGTCAACCTTATTTCAACAAATCTATTCCCCTATAAAAATTATGTAGAGGATTGGTACAGATGCGGAATGAATACATAATGAATTTTCTCGTATGGAATCTGGATAATAAATAAAAAAGGACCATAACATGAAAATTATGTTTTGAAAAAAGATTATATTCAAGAAGTTTCCTGTTGTTATTGAAACTTTAAAGAACAATATCACTATGCAAATTGGTATGATTCCTAGGCTAAAATGTTTTTTCTCCACGTAGAGCGGCCAAAATTGCTCATTGCATCGTAATTTTCATAGTGGCAATATACATGATTTTTGCTTTTCATCATCACCAAATAAAAATGATATATTTAGCTCCCGGCGTGTTGAATGACAAGTCACACACAACGCCATCAAATATACTTTACAGAAACTCGCATTTTGTTTGAGATATAGAAAAGATATCTTAGAGTTATGTCTGAGATACATCATGACGAT